CGGTACACCGACAAGACTCGGGGAGCTGGTGTTGGCTGGAGAGCCAACAGGAGACGAGGTGCTGGAGTCGGCCGGTACGCCGACAGGACACGGGGAGCTGGCGTCGGCCGATGAGTCAACAGGTGACGAGGAGCTGGAGTCGGGACCATGACTGCTGGGGCCAGTACTTGAGCCGGAACCATGGCTGGAACTGGGGCCGGAATCATGGCTGCTGGGCCCGGTACTTGAGCCGGAATCATGGCTGTAAGATCCAGTTCTGGAGCCGCAAACATGGCTGTAAGGTCCGGAGCTGAAGCCTGGATCATGGCTGTGTGGGCCGGTTTTGGAGCCGGAAACATGGCTGTAAGGTACGGTTCTGGAGCCGGAACCATGGCTGCTGGGCAAGGAACCGGAACATGGATCCATGGCTGTGTGGGATGGTACTGGAGCACGGAACCATGGCTGCTGGGATCCGGCACTGGAGCCGGAACCACGGCTGTTGGGGGCGGAGCAGAAGCCTGGACCCTGGCTGTGTAAGCCAGGTAATGGAGTATGGACGCAAAACTGCGTGGGCCGGTACTGGAGCATGGAGCCATGGCTGCTGGGGCCTGTACTGGGGCTGGAACCATGGCTGCTGGGGCCCGGGCTGCTAGTCTGGCCTTGCGACGACTCCTCTTAGCAACCGCCTGAATACTCCGTGGACCTCCATAAGCCAGACGAGTTCCAGCATACGACTCCTGAACAGGAGCAGGACCTGGGGCAGAAGCATGGGTTAACTTCAGACGGATCCCACCGAGGCATATGGTGCCAGGTTGGGAATTGGGAGACAGGGAGCTAGCATGCCTGGGGCTAGCAGACCGGGAATCCCACACCGGGATCATGGCTGTTGGAGCAGGGGCTGGAATCCTGGCCCTGCGTCTCCTAGAGGCTCTTTGGAGACTCCGTGGACCTCCAACAGGACCGTAGTCGGATCCGAGGAAAGGGTTAGATGCGTCGGACCAGTCCTCAGGACAACTTGTGAAAAGCTGTAACCACTCCGGCAACAAACTCCTCAACCAAGGCATTTCGGCCACCTCCATTTGTGCCCTCTCGAGAATAGCCTCTTTGTCCTTTCTAGAAGAAGTTCCCTTCCACTCGGCATGATAACATTGAAGGGAAAAGTCTAGATCGAACAGATCGAACTCAAAATCTTACATATCCGCTGGGTCCATATTCTGGTCAGTTCGTTCTGTTACTATCTCAGGCACTTAGGATGTTGGACCCAATTGCAGACAGGGAGACAGAGGTAAAGTATTGGTAAGATACTTTATTTTTCCAAAAAACACGATGAACAAAAAAAAGTCACTCACTAATCTCAGGATGAGATGACAAACAATGAGACCAAAAGGAAAATCGCTCACGTAGTGAGGAACAAAACTATTCTTGAGCACAAAAGAGCATAGACCTGACCATGACAATAGACAAGACGAACTGACACTGAACACTGGGAGACAGGGGAATTTAAACACAGGGTAACAAGACACAGGTGGGAACAATCAGGGGCGGGGCTGACACTGATGAGCACAGGAGACACACAAGGAGTGACAGGTGAAAACAATCAGGAAATTAGACACACCAGGGAACTAACGACAGACATGAAAACACAGGGAAAAGAGACCAGACAATATACAGGGAGTAAAACATGACAAGGAGAACGGAAAAACACCCACACCTAGACATAGACACGTGACATGACATAATAATCCTGACAGTTTCTCAGGTCCGTATGTGGTTGTAAGACAAGTGTCTGACACGAACTATATAATTGACACACCTGAGCGTAGGAGAAAAACAAGGTTGTGCCATGTTAACATGCTTAAGTCCTATCATGCCAGGGAAGCTTCCCAGGGGGAGCAGTAAGCTACTGTGGTGACTGCTGTTCCCAGCGTGGCCACTTCCCTGGCCTGTATGTCGATGGTTGAGGATGATTTGATAGTGCCCTCTGGTGGTCAGCAGTGTGGTAGGTTATCGAACTCTGAGTTTATGCTGAGCTTAGAGTCTAACCTGGCGTATCTTCCAGAAAGCCAGCGAGGCGACGTAGTCGGTTTGGTTCATGCTCACCCGACCCTATTTGGTGATGTGCCATCGAGCACTAATGTGTTAAAGCATGACATTGATGTTGGAAATGCTCATCCAATTAAGCAACATGCGTATAGAGAAGAGGGAGAAAATGAAAAAGGAAGTGTGTTATCTGCTTGAAAATGGCTTAGCCAAGCCTAGCTGCAGCCCCTGGAGCAGTCCATGTTTGCTTGCTCCTAAATCTGACGGAACACTGCGTTTCTGCACCGATTTTCGCAAGGTGAACGCCCTAACTGTTCCAGACTATTTTCCTTTGCCCCGTATGGATGATTGCATCGACTGTATTGGTCCTAGTGTGTTTATCACGAAGTTGGATCTCCTTAAGAGATATTGGCAGGTCCCTCTCACTTCTAGGGCCTCAGACATCTCTGCCTTTGTAACGCCTGACCACTTTATGCAATACACTGTGATGGCTTTTGGCATGAGGAATGCACCAGCCACATTTCAGCGTTTAATGCACTTGGTGTTGGGGGATGTGTCCAACTGTAATGTGTATCTTGATGATGTGGTGGTTTTTTCCGATAACTGGACTGACCATATGGCTATTCTCACGTGTGTTCCAGCGACTTGCAGGAGCCTCGCTAACAGTGAATCTGGCAAAGTGTGAGTTTGGCAAGGCCACTGTCACCTATCTAGGCAAACAGGTGGGTCATGGGCATGTGAGGCCCGTGGATGCTAAAGTGGAAGCCATCCTTTCCTACCCAGCTCCAGCCACCCGACGTGAACTCGGCCGGTTCTTCGGTATGGCTGGGTACTACCGATGTTTTTGCAAGAACTTTTCGGTAATTGTGGCACCGCTAACTCAACTGTGTAGCCCTAATGTTCCATTTGTATGGACTGAGGAGTGTTGCTGCTCCTTTAGCTCTGCCAAGTCTCTCCTCTGTAGTGCTCCAGTGTTGTGTGCGCCTAACTTCACCCTTCCCTTCAAACTCGAGGTGGATGCTAGTGGTTCTGGGGCTGGTGCTGTTCTGCTGCATGAAGGTGATGGGGTTTGTGCCATCCTGTGTGCTACTTCTCGACCAAGTTCAAGCGACATCAGCTGAATTATTCTACCATTGAGAAGGAAACTCTGGCCATGCTCCTTGCCCTGCAGCATTTTCAAGTGTATGTTGGGTCCAGTTCAACGACAGTGGTGGTGTACGCCGATCACAACCCACTCGTATTTTTGTCCCAGATGTTCAACCACAACCAGCGGTTGATGCGCTGGGCCCTGTTGGCACAAGACTTCAACATCGTCATCAACTACAAGAAGGGAGCAGATAATGTGGTGGCCGATGTACTGTCCCGTGGGTGAGATTTCACGATGTATGTCCAATAGTCTGAGTGTTGTTGGTAACTGTGGCCAAACACTTGTTTGGTTTTATGGGGGGGGGCTGTTACGTGCCGTAGTGTTTGTGTGGGGGTGTGTGTCTTTCTCTCTCTCCCTCTGACTCCCCAGGTGCAGCCTGATTGTCCCCAGGTGCAGCCTCTCCCCAGGTGCTCCTAATTCCAAATCAGGGCCTCCATATAGGACCGGAGGAAGACTGCAGAGAGGCCTCCTTTTTCCTCCTCTGGCTGCATGTGTACAGAACTGTGTCTTGCCGATTGATAGGAGATGTGCTCCTAGATATATCGATTCTGTAGTATTCTGTGCAAGTTGGCTGGTGAGCCCGTGTTCCTGTCTTGTTCATTAAACGACCTGTTCATTACTCCAGAGATCGGTTTTCTCTCTTTTTTGTCATCCTTGTGTTTTGTTACTCCCCTTGGTACCCCTAGACTTGGAGGGAACGTAACACGCGCTAAAATGCATTTCCGGGTCACTACCGGAGGACCGAGGAGTCGAGGAGGGGGATTTGATGAAATGAGAAAGGGCCACACACACACACACACACACACACACACACACACACACACACACACACACACACACACACACACACACACACACACACACAGGCGACCGGACATATTCTTCATAAAACTAATCAATTTAAATAAAACGAGGCCACGCTTTATTAACTTGTGCGCACGAGTTAATAAAGCGTTCGCACGAGAAGGTACAAAACAGACTTTTTATATTATAATAAAATAATAATAGCTTGGATTTATATAGCGCCTTTCAAGGGACCCAAGGCCCTTTTGAAGGCGTCAAGTGTGGGGATGTTGCGAATCTCCGCAGGGAGAGCGTTCCAGAGGGTGGGGGCTGCCACACTGAAGGCTCTGTCCCCGAAGGTTCGCAGTTTGGTGCGGGGGGTGTTAAGCAGGCCAGAGTCTGAGGACCGCAGGTTCCGGGGTGGGGCATGTGGGTGAAGGATGTCCGATAGGTACTGGGGGGCAAGGGCATGGAGGGACTTGTAGGTAAGGAGGAGGACTTTGTAGGATATATTGATAATTATTGTCAAGTGAGTTGGATTTTTGTTGTAATTGTTGTCTTAATGTCTTTAATATGTAATCTTTAATACCAGTGCTTGTGTGATTCCTCCTTTTTGAAGTTAATGTTTTGCAAGTGAATGAATGTTTCACTTTGTACAAACTCTTGGATACACACAACAAGGTTCATCCGCTAATCTGTTATTCATCCTACAGCAATCATATTTTGGATTTACCTTGTGTTTGTCCGATAAACCTACACGATTTTTCTTGTTCTACTTATTTTTAAGAATTTCTATCATCAAAGCCATCATGTTTGGTTATTGTTAAAAACATGCTTGACATATCCCCTGGTTAAAACGAAGAGTGCTTTAACATCTTACTTGCTTATATTTGATCCCAACAGCATTCTCACGGGCTCAGAGAGGTTAGCATGTTTAACCTTTTCTGATATCACCAGAGCCAAGAGTCTATGTGTTCCCTAACCACAGTCCTGCTGGCTCTAAAAGGCAGACAAATCCTGGAGGAACCACAAATACTGTCCTCTCTCTTACCTGTCATAGAAGTGTTCTCTGTAGAAATCATAGTCAAACTCATAGCCACTGGGGAGGAAGCACAATAGCACAAAGTGAATGTACAAAATACATGTCATACAATACTTTTCATATCATGAGCATGAAACCACATTGAAAATAACATACGTGAACAACAAGGTTTTGGGGTTTCCATGTAGCTTATAGGAATCAAAGACTAAAATTGCACAGAAAAAGCAATAATTATAACCTCTGTGGGAGAGACAAAGAAACCACCAAATACTTCATCTCACCCCAAGAGACGTAAATATGACAAAGACAAAACAGAGCATGACAACCCAAACTGAACTGTTGAAAATGATGTGTAGCATGTTTAATTTGTGCTGACATATTTTACAATTGTTATTGAGTACAAATGAAGGGTAAGCATAGTGATGTCTGAGGTTCCTTCTGTAAACGATGTAAAATACAAAAAACTGCCCTACACTGAAATTGCATTTCACAATTTTGTTTCACAATTGAAAGTTTGTTGTGATGTGTAAGTGTTTGTCCATAGTGACAACGCTGAAGGAATTATAGATCAACTCTGATTTTACAGATTTAGAGAGGCCACCTTTAGTTTATCCTTTTGATTTTACAACTGCAACTTTTCGAGCTCTGATAAACCCACTGTACACCACCTGACCAGAAATAAAAAGTAGTCAGATAAAGTTATGAGACAGTTCAACACAAAGCCACTAAAGAGCTGGTGGGACCAGAACACGACTGAAAGGGGAGTGAAACATTGAGGGCCCATTATTCCAAAACCCCAATAATCAAAAAAACATCCTGCTTGGGTTAGAGCGGGCTTTTAAGACACACAAACAGTATATTGCCAATGCACATAAAGATTGTGAAATACATAATGCTCTTGATTTAATGGGATTTCTGGTATAAACTATGCCCACTTCCAGTCTAGTGTCTGTTAGAAATGCAGGGATAGATATTTCTTTGTGTGCAGATAATGACACCTCTACTCTCAGCTTCCTTTTTTCATCCTTCTGCCCCCCCCCCCACACATTATTGCAGCGTTGAAATGTGATTTAATGAATTCATTAAAACACATTATAGTGTTAAAGGAACAATCGGACTCTAGAAATAGACTTGTGAGGTCTTAATAGTCCTGTAAAAGTGGATGAGTGGCTGAGATTGTATTGTATTCTATTACCATGACATAAATACTTGTGTATGCTACCATATGTGTATTTTGTTTTTGCTATGTAAAATGTAAACTTCTTAAATGTTTTATGTGAGGGACTGCGGATGGAAATTAGCTGAAAGCTAAATCTGGCACTGTTACGCTTGGCACATTTTAATGTTTTAAGTGTTCATTACTGTGCATTGTCCCTGCCGAATAAACAATTAAATAAAATAAATAAATAAGATGTTAAACAGAAGCCTGAGACTCCTTCTAAATAAACACAGATCTCGGCCTCCAGCTTCCTCAGGGTGCTGTTATGCAGTGTAGCTGTTTTAAAGCCTTGGCCTTTTCAATTACAGTTTCTAGATCTCAGTCCCACATGAGCACCTGCATTTGTTTTTGTTGGTAAACACAGGTGTAGGTATTACAGTCTCTTTTTGGATTTCTGATACAAGTCCTGGCCCTTCAGAAAACCTGTGCCTGCTGCAAAAAGTGCAAAGTAACACTTTGAGTACCTGTAGAGAGAAGCTGCTGATCGCTTTAGGATGTTGGGTCTACTCGGCTTTGGTTCTCCAGCCATATTGACATCTGAAACAAAGAACAGAGAATCAGAATCAGAAATCTATTTGTCCCACAGTGGGGAAATGTACTTTACATCACAGCAAAGGGAGAGTGGAGGTAAAAAAAAAATGAATGAGTAGACAAACGTATTGATTAAAGCAGGGGTGGGGAACCTCCGGCCCCTGGGCCGTATACGGCCCACGAGACCTTTGCTACGGCCCTCGAGGTAATTTATAAACACACGTAAAAAAGAAAAAAATTAAAGAAATCGAGACCGCAAAAAAATTAAACAAGCGAGTGCCTGTTTTTCCTGGCCAAGGTCAGGGTCCTTGAACACATCATGAGCCTTACGTGTCATCACCATCACGTGGTATATGTCTCGTCTGACAGGGGTGCAGTTCTGAAGGAGAGCACCAGAACGCGGCTCCGCCACTTCCACAAATTGCAGTACCGATAAGGAGCCGTACACATGCTGCAGTTTTTGCGTGGCTATGTCTTTAGTTGAAAGCCTAGTGGCGATCTGTTCATCTGTCATACTGATCATACAGTCAAAAACTGTGTTATTAGCATCTGGTTAGCTAGCTATGCTAACGAATATAAGAAGCTTTTTCTCCAACCAGTGAGGTAAAGGCACATCTTTATATGATCATTATAGTTATAAAACAATAAGAGAATAAAGTAAACAGGTATAAAATACTATATGACAGTAAAAACAAGTTTAAGAATACAGTTTGAAAGGAGAGTGATTTGTAAAATATCCATAAAGGAAATCTGCTTCCAGGTCTGTTTCATATGGGTGTTGAGAGATAGATCTCCTAATGTTGCTCTCAAAGTGCACCAGATTGATGCTGTTAACTACAATATTAAAAAAAACATCTTCCCAGGGGAGCATGGCCCCGGACCCCACTAGAGGAGGTGAGGATCCCCATAGAGGAGGATAGGTACCCCCCCCACTTAAATCATGTCCACATGCATAGGAAACTAAATACTATTATTATTAGCATCTGGTTAGCGAGCTATGCTAACGAATATAAGAAGCTTTTTCTCCAAACAGTGAGGTAAAGGCACATCTTTATATGATCATTATAGTTATAAAAACACAAGAGAATAAAGTAAACAGGTATAACATACTATAAGACAGTAAAACAAAGTTGTTATTAATAAACAAGAATACAGTTTGAAAGGAGAGTGGTTTGTAAAATATCCATAAAGAAAAAGAAAATCTGTTTTCAGTTCTGTTTCATATGGGTGTTGAGGGATGTATCCATAGATCTACTAATGTTGCTCTCAAAGTGCACCAGATTGATGCTTTTAACTTCAACATTTAAAAATAAAATCTTCCCGGGGCAGAACACCCCCCTAGAGGAGGTTAGGCCCCCCCACTTAAATCATGTTCACATGGATAGGAAACTGCACACATCTTGTGTCCATATCTTTCTGTTGTGGTGGTCATGCCACACCGTGCACGTGCATGCATGCGTGAGTCATGGTAAAATATCTGGATTAGGAGGTTGCTTTTTCTTTGCACAGAATGAAAGAAAGGTGAAATGAATGGGCTGTGATTTTAGTATTTTTAAACAGAGGTCAATAATTTGTACGGCCCTCGGAGGATGTTGAAAACATTGAAATGGCCCTTGAGAGGAAAAAGGTTCCCCACCCCTGGATTAAAGAGACAAGCACATGTTAATAAAATCAAATGAGTACATTTGCATTATAAAAAAATAAGTAGCACTCATATAATTATTATTGATTTTTTTTCTTTGCAATTGTCATGAGGGAAATTAACTAAAACCCAATTGGTTATCCATTCAATTAAGGAGACATTAATATAATCAGATCTCAATAAATGAGTAAAGTACCTGTTGAAGCACCACCCCCCCAACAAATAACTGTGTAAAAACATAAATGACGACAAGATAACAGCTTATTATGGGAAACATATCTCAGGATCTTGAGAATGTGTCACATTGTAACCTCCACTAGAGGGAGCCGTTGAGCCACTATCCACCCTCCCTTTGTCAGCTGTTCTCTCAACTGGACAGCTCCTGTGGGCCCATATTAGCCTGTGAGTTTGCCATGTATAATTAATAAGAGGGAAAGTAAGGAATCAGATTTTTCTTGCTGTGCTGTTCGAGACTTTCCTCCTTTATTTGGGGTGATGAAACAAAACTCATGCATCTAAGCCAGAAGGAATATATTACAAGTAAATGTATTGAATTACAAACAAAGCTGTGGTTGTAATTAAATATGGGAATGGACCCCTTTTTCTTGTTGCTGCTGCACAGTGGGCAAAATAAAATAAGAGAGATGAGGAATCTCTTGGTATTAGATTTTAATATGTTGCACTGTTTTAATAAGATGAGAAAACGGTTGCAATCTATATTACAGTCATTTAGGGTGATTCAATCTAATGTTTTATTTATTTTAAATATATGCCTTTAAGACCTTACCAAGAAGAGTCACAGTGCTGTGATGCAGTGGCGACCGGCCCATAGGGGTGCTAGGGGCGCTGCCCCACCTCTTCTCACATTCTAGATTGTCATAAAAAAACCTTTACATTTAATTAATTTTGATACATTTTCTTTTTTAATGAAGAAGGTACATATTATATAGTTGGTGTCAGTTAAATGTATAATCTACGATAAAATATTCATAAATAATTGTTTTACGATGTCTAAAGTCACGTGTTTCCTGCTTGGGGCGCAGAAATCTTTGCCCATTGACTCTCGTTATAAGTGGTGCATGCACAGTCCGTACCTCTTCAATGCAACAGATAGGAGCAGCTTGGGGCGCACCAAGCTGTGCCCAAAGCAGCTGTTGACACCACCAACAACTAGGGGGCAGCAGGAGCGCCAGAGTGAGTGATTTCCATTTGAATGAGAGAGAGTTAGACGGAGTGTAAACAAAACTAGATAGCGAATATGGAGAAGGAAAATTATGTTTAAAGAAACATCCTTTGAGAGGAGGACACTGGAGGGAAAACTGAAAGTAAAAGAGCTCGGACCGGATCAGCCTGACATAGGCAGGAGTTAAGGACAGAGGAAGGCAGTATTCCTGCTCTTTTTCAAGGAGCTGGTTTAGCAAGAAGGCTGGGGGCTAACTACCAACACCAGTGCTATATTTTGCTTCCCCTGCCTCCCTTTCCAAACGTCAGGATCAGACCCAGCATGGATCCAGACAGATGTGAGTGACTTAAAGCACATATCAGAAAAAACTAAAAAAGCATGAACAAACTGGAGTCCACATGGTTGATGCTATGCGACTAGCCATGTTTAGGAAAGTAAACACAGCTGTCCAATGAGGGCTACAGGATAGGGATCTGTAAGCATAATAAGGAGGTTGACAAAAACAGGCACTAAAATAATAGACTGTATCAAGCGCTGTGTGCCTTTGAGCTAGCCCTGCGTTGTAATATGACATATGTTTTGGGTTTGTGTATAAGTTTGCTTACATTTTAGTAGAGCCCTCCCTGGAGAAAAATGCACCAGCTTCCACTGCTGTGATGTGGTTGCATTTCTTACTGTAGCCGCGTACTTTTCCCGTTTAGTTCCGTTAGTACCCCTTATGTCGCGTTCACACCAAAAAGAGTACTTAGTGCCGGGAACTTTTACCCCCATTTTTAGTGCCTGCAAGAGAGGTGGTACGAAAAAAGTACCAAAAAAGTACCAATTTCTATTGGGTGGGCGAATTGCAAACTACGCCCCGTAAAACTGTGAACATTTTTTGAAGCCGCCATTGTATTTACTGGCAATAGCTTTATTAGCATTAGCATTAGCCCCGCGCACCAACGGAGAGAGAATACCTTATGGCAACACAAAAGAAAACATGGGAGCGGTGGAGAGGCGTTCTGGTGATTTACTCGGAAGGCTTCAGTAGAAGCTGCTGGGACTCCCAGCAGCTTCTACTGAAGCCAGTCCCTAACTCTGGGGACTTCCGGCCGGGGACTTCGGGTGGCAGTATACGCGGTGAAGTGGTTTGCGGCCTGCCAGTAAACCCAAAGCAGAAGAAGACGAAGTGACGTCAGCGGCTCATTTGCGTAATCTTCCCTCAGGGAAAAGTACTCCAGTGTGAACGCGATTGGTACTCAGTGCCCTGGGGTTATAAGTGCCGGGCACTGAGTACTGCAAAGTACTCGGTGTGAATGCGGCTAATGACTCTTCTTGGTAAGGTCTGTAGAGTTATATTTGTATTTATTCATGTTAGCAAACTATGGATAAGCTTAAAATGGGAATAATTTGGGTAAAACTGTGAGCTGCATTTGGGGCCTGTTGACATGTGTTTTTGAGGACAAAGGAAGATGGGGGAAGGTGAGAGCATGTCCTGATTTGCATTCAACTTAGAACAAGCTACAGTGGTTGTGATATTAAGAGAGGTCCCTTGGGTTTCTCTGGTGCTTATCAATAGTAGCAGTTAAGTGAATACTGTTCAAACAATACCTGTGTTTGTGTTTTATATTGATTTCTCTGTTTTATCCTTTCATAAATGTAAGGACTACAAATGGCTATAAACATTCTGGGCTGGTTGGAGTAAACAGGGTTTTATTGCTCTGTGGGGGAGGTGTAGGTATGCAGGCCTTGAGACCTTTTGTTGTAAAGTGAGCCTGTTTGGTTTCCTGCTGGCCAGCGTTGCGTCTCCCAATGAGATGACCTGAAAAGATGACCAGCTGACCTAACACCAAACCCCTCCTTCTTACTCTGGTATATATCCGGAGGATCCCTGGCGTTCGGCCTCTTCTTCACATGCTGCCCTCGGGTGAAAGTAGCTCTGCAGTATGCGGACTAGGGCAGGAGTAAGCCGGCATTACTCCTTAAGCATTACAATATAACTGTAATATATCATGTTGTATTGTAATGATTGTATTGCATTGTCATATTGCCATTAAAGTAGATTATTGTTAACGGTTACTTTGTAGATATGGATTCCTTCCTGTATTATAACCAGCTTCATAGGAACGCGCGGAGATTTGAAAAGCGGACCAGTTATCCCTCCAAATCTCTAACAGGTCTTAAAGGCATTACAAATTACAA